CAGCCTCCCCCACAAGCATCTAGCTTGTGCTTCAAGATGAGTGAGACCTTCAAAACGGTCCTAAGTCCCTTTGAACAGTCACTAAATGAACTGTTGTAAGTCAAGGACTCCCTTTAGTTCTATTCCCTTAGTATATTTCCAACTTGTGCATTCTCTGGTTTGGCCAAGGTGGCCCAGCTGGCTTTCACGCCTAAGGCAGAACTAGAACTCACCATCTCCTGGTGATTAGCCCAAAGTGGACCCAGCTGGCTTTCATGGTTAAGGTGGGAGTAGAATTCACAGTCTCCAGTTTTCTAACCTGGTGTCTTAACCACTAGACTAGGCTTTTAAAATAGAACAGCCATGGGAGTGAGTAGTGTGTGGATCTTTAGAGTTTCTAAGTCTTGTAGGACTATAGATCCTCTCCCTTTTACCATTTGTGCATGGTGCCCTCTCTTTAGGATTTAAGGGATCGGTTGCAGGAACCCCGGTGAAGGCTTCCACCTGCGAGGTCCTAGTTCTACATGATTTTTATGCCTGCGGTCATTAATTACTCAAAGCCCATCTTCCTGAGCCCGATCTGTTCCTCTAAACCAGCGGTTCTCAACCTGTGGGTCGCGACCCCATTTGGGGTCGAACGACCATTTCACGGGGGTCGCCAAAGAACGCAGTCCGCCATTTCCCCCCCTTTTCCTTAGTTGTGCTACTCCCTTTTCTTCTATTGGCTTTTGAAAGCCAATAGAATAGACTCTCTTGAATAGAGTCTAATTCTATTGGCTTTCAAAAGCCAATAGGAATTGTCCAGGCTGTCTCTGCCCTGCTGAGCCCGCCAAAAGTCCCGTTCTGCAAACGGTGCTGCAAGTTGTCTGCAGCGAAGGCGAGCTGTCTGGAAGTTTCCACCCTTCCCTGCTGAGCAACTACTAAAAATGTAAGTAAAAGAGGGCCAGGGGTGAGAGGTGGGAGGCCGGCGGGCGCAGGGAGGGTTGCTGGCATGCGTGGGGCCCGGCAGGTGCCTTACCTCCCTTGGGCTGGGCCAGCTGGTGGCCCAGCCAGTGGTCGGCCTGTGCCGTCTCTGCCACTTGCCAGCTATGCCTTGACTGGCGCAGGGGGCGGCACCATGCATGCGCGGTGCTCCCGGGCAGGGAAAGTCCTTGACTTATGACCGGTTGGATAGTCCTCGACTTACGAGCGGTTGGGGGGGGGGTCGCAGCATTTAAAAGGTTGAGAACCACTGCCCTAATACTTCAAATGCGACTTGGCTATTCAGAAAGGCAACGCTGCTTTGCGGGGTTCCAGTCTTCAAATTAAAGATTAGCAGCCTGAGCGTTCAATTTGCCCCTCCCCTCCCCAGCTTTTGGGGAAGATTTGCACTAGTTCTTTATAAGCCTCGATGTTTTATCAGGTGGATGAAGAGGAACCAGCAGCACACTGGCATTTTGAAGGTAGCCCCCGGGGACAGGTGTAAGCGAAAGCAGAACTTCAAACGGGAACACAGTCGGCCTGCTGGCTTTAATTAAAAAGCTCAAAGGGGTTGCGCTAAGCCGGTACGGCACGCCTACAACACCCTGACTGTCACATCCGCCGGAGAGAAAAATATTAATCCCGATCCAATCCACCTAGAAGAAAAGAACAGAGCTGCCCTCAGGAAACCTCCCGGACTACTTCACACCAAGAATTTCAAAAAAGCCAGATATGCTGAAAGAGAGTTGTTGTTGTTGTTTTTTTAAAAAAAGGGAAAGGAATTACGCCTTGCAAACCACAAAACAAGAAAAGTCATTCAGCTGTGTGGCATCGAAATTACAGGCCCAGCCACACCAGTAAGGCAAACCGAGGGCTGTGGCGGTTTCAAAAAGTCAGTGTAGCCCTCGGCTGTATCAACAGAAGGGTAGCTTCAAGATCACAAGAAGTAATAATATTTCTTTATGCCGCACTAGTGAAGCCATGCAGTTAGAACAGTGGTTCTCAACCTTTTTAATGCTGCGACCCCCAACCGGTCGTGAGTCGAGGACTACTCAACCGGTCGTAAGTCAAGGACTACTCAACTGGTACAGCACCGTTTGCAGAGTGGGACTTTTGGTGGGCTCAGCAGGGCAGAGACAGCCTGGACAATTCCTATTGGCTTTTGAAAGCCCATAGAATTAGACTCTATTCAAGAGAGTCTATTCTATTGGCTTTCAAAAGCCAATAGAAGAAAAGGGAGTAGCACAGCTAAGGAAAAGGGGGAAAAAATGGCGGACTGCATTGTTTGGTGACCCCCCGTGAAATGGTCGTTCGACCCCAAATGGGGTCCCGACCCACAGGTGGAGAACCGCTGAGTTAGAATATTGTGTACCGTTCTGGTCACCACGATACAAAAAAGATGCTGAGCCCCTAGAAAGAGTGCAGAGAAGAGCAACAAAGATGATTAGGGGGCCGGAGGCTAAATTGAACGATTGAGGGACCTAGCTATGGATAGTAGCCTATCAAAGAGAAGGATTAGAGAGGACACGGTAACCATCTTCCATTACTTGAGGGGCTGTCACAAAGAAGAGGGGATTGGCTTATTCTCCCAAACTCCAGAGGGCAGGACAAGAAGTAATGGATGGAAGTTCATTAAAGGAAGATCCAACCTAGAACTACGGAGAAATTTCTTGACAGTGTGAACAATTAATCAGTGGAACTTCCAGAAACGGTGGGTGCTCCATTACTGGACGTTTTCAAGAAGAGACTGGATAGCCATTTGTCTGGGATGGTATAATGTGTCCTGCTTGAGCGGGGGCTGGACTAAAGGACCTCCAGGGTCCCTTTCAAATATTTTGGAATGGAGTGGAGTGGAGTGGAGTGGAGTAGAATGGAATGGAATGGAATGGAATGGAATGGAATGGAATAGAATAGAATAGAATAGAATAGAATAGAATAGAATAGAATAGAATAGAATAGAATAGAATAGAATAGAATAGAATAGAATAGAAAATGGAATAGAAAATGGAATAGAAAATGGAATAGAATAGAATAGAATAGAATAGAATAGAATAGGAATTTAGATAGAATAGAATGGAATGGAATGGAATGGAATAGAATAGAATAGAATAGAATAGAAAATAGAATAGAATAGAATAGAATAGAATAGAATAGAATAGAATAGAATAGAATAGAATAGAATAGAATAGGAGCTGGAAGGGATCTTGGAGGTCTTCTAGTCCAGCCCCCTGCTCAAGTAGGAGAACCTATACCATTTGTGACTATCTAGTCTAGTCTCTTCTTTAAAACCTCCAGTGATGGAGCGCCCACGATTTCTGGAGGCAAGCTGTTCCACTGGTTAATTGTCCTCCCTGTCAGGAAGTTTCTCCTTAATTCCAGGTTGCTTCTCTCCTTGATCAGTTTCCAACCATTGTTTCTTGTCCTGCCCTCTAGGGGCTTTGCAGAATAATTTTATTCTATGTTCTAAGCGTAGTGATTAGAACCATCACGAAATGCTGGCTCTTTTATGAATGAGTCACCACCATTGTCCTTCACCAGCCAGAGGCACGCCTTCCATACGTACATAGGTAAAGTGCTTGCCCACATCTAACCGAAATGGAAGTGACTCTTTCAACATAATAACAGACAGTGACCTTCCTTTTCAAGAGAGAGGATGTGATCTGGCACACGCTGAAGCTTTCAAAAGCTGCTACATTATCAGTTAATGCAACAAAAGGAACAGTTCAGAGTTTAAAATCAGCATAAGTAAACGGCAAGGCTATTATAAATGGTTGCAGCAAAACCAGGAGCTAATCTTAAAAAAATAAAATAAGGAAGGAAGGAAGGAAGGAAGCAAAGCAGTGACTGTTCAAAGGACCACAAAATCTTCTTATTCTAAGACAGGGAGGGGAAAAAAAAATCAAATCAAGAACAAAGCGATGGCAGCCCTTTTATGAAGAAAGAAATAAATAAGTCAGAGCGATCAGTAAGTAGTCAAAGGACAAAGTGTTTGACTGTAAGAAAGCACCCGAGGGAGATACAAAAATAGCAGCAGATCCCCGGGCATCCAAAGAAACTGACAATTTCCAGTAACAGCATCACATATTCTGCCCTGTTCCCAGGAGTGTCTACTTATAATTTGATGTTATTGTCCTCAGAGTTAGTTTTGTCTTCTTCTTCAAGATAAAGAAATATGTGGAGTCTGAGTGGGCTTCAGAGCAATGCAGGACTCCTCTTTACAATGGGATGTAGTTTACATCTGCTGTGAGTAATCTTTCTTTGAGAGTTAACTTCAATTAAAGGACAATCACACTCACAACAAAATAAAAAAACTGTGGAGCATCAAATCAACTTGAAAGGATTCCCTCTTCTCTTATGTCAGGCCCCAGGAACAACAAAGAAACATGGAGTTACTTCAGAGCAGCAGCGTCCTTTATTGTTCCTCACCTACAGACAGAATCTTGCCAGACTAAAGCAAGTTGCCATCGACTTATAATCACAACTGGGACTGGAATCCTGGTTTGTAGCTATAAGTTGAGGCACCACGTAACCAGATCCAACTTTTTGCAACCAATTTTTACAGCAGTTGTTACATGAATCTCATGGCCATTGAGTCCCAATCCACTCCCCAAATAGGTATTAGGTCTTCTAGACCAACCTCCTGCTCAAGCAGGAGACCGTATGCCAAATGGCTGTCCGATCTCTTCTTCATGTCTAAGGGACATTATTCCATGTCCCTTAGGGAGCTCATTTCCTACCAACAGGAAGAGCCCCCTCAAAGCTTATGAACCAAATCCAAATCATCATCGAGTTTTAGGACAGGATCCAACACCTTTTGACCACTGAAGATAGAGCATTGGTCAACTCACTTCAAGTCAAAGGACTTGAAGGGGCCCTTATCTTTGGGATTGGCACTGTACAAAAATCAAACGGATGCAAGCAAAGAAATTCACGTCACGGCTGCGGTGCTAGGTGACAAGGCTAGGGCTGAGGGTGGCGATGACCAAACCAACAGAGAAAAGCTCATTTCTTCAGACCTTCCCTGAGCATCAATCCATGAAGACAAGGGACACAGAACTCACCCTCATACCGAGTTCGATGTTTTCTCCTCCATAAACTTCCATGCCAGGATCAAGCAGGCCAATCTCTCCAAAATATTCTCTATCCACCACAAACGAACACCCAATCATGGCCGGCGTCCTGTTGAGTCAGGGAGGGAACCAGAGCAAGAGAAGAAGCCATTAAAAAGAGGAAGAGTGTGCAAAGACCTCATCAGAAAAGTCCAAATCTGACCTCCAAAGTTTTGGAAATAGTTAATTAAACTATGACCGTCAATTCATGAAGGCCAATATGTCAAACTTCATAAAGAACCACTAACCACTAAGATCCATACCTCTAGAATAGAATAGAATAGAATAGAATAGAATAGAATAGAATAGAATAGAATAGAATAGAATAGAATATTGGAATAAAATAGAATAGAATAGAATAGAATAGAATAGAATGGAATGGAATGGAATAGAATAGAATAGAATAGAATAGAATAGAATAGAATAGAATAGAATAGAATAGAATAGAATATGGAATGGAATGGAATGGAATAGAATAGAATAGAATAGAATAGAATAGAATAGAATAGAATAGAATAGAATAGAATAATTGGAAGGGACCTTGTAGGTCATCTAGTCCAGGGCTTTTCAACCAGTGGTACGGGTACCACCTATGGTACATTGGCACCTGGCAGGTGGTACATGACCATCCTAAAAAAGTGGTAGCAGGGGAGAGGAATGAGTTGAACTGGTGGCAGCACCGCATAAGCCTGGCTGGAGTTGCAGGGCTGTCAGGGGTCAGCGGAAGCGCCAGGATCAGCGCCAGACTCCAACAGGAGCTCGGGGCTGATCCTGGTGCTTCAGCTGAGCCCCGAAGAAGCATCAATCAGCTGGAAAGCAGCAGTGATCCTGGCACTTCTGCTGAGCCCAGAAGAAGTACCGATCAGCTGGAATGTTGCAGTATCTCCAGGGTCTTGTGATTTACATTCAGATGCTTGGCAACTGATTCATATTTATGACGGTCACAGTGTCCCAGGGTCATGTGAAGTGACCAAAACCTGCTGAAACCACCCAGCAGATGGGGGGAATAAAAACCAAACACCCCTCCATCCCACCCCCACTGCCAATCCTCAACAGAAATGCTCACAACAATGGAAACCTCAGACAGGAGGAAGAGCACCGCCGGGTGGGCAGGCAGGTGTCTTGCTCGGCTGTGGCTTGGGGGGCACTTTTTTCAGTGCCATTGTAACTTCGAACAGTCACTAAGCGAACTGTTGTAAGTCGAGGACTACCTGTACTTTATCACTTTTTTCCTTTTTTGTTTTTTTTGGGTCAAGTTTTTGATACCTTGCTAGGCGACTGGTGGTACTCGGATGTTGCCGTGTCCTAAAACTGGTACAATGGGTGAAAAGGTGGAAAAGCCCTGGGCTAGTCCAGCCCCCCCACCCAAACAGGTGACCCTACAGATGGCTGTCTGACAGTTTCTTTTTGAAAGCTTCTAGTGATGGAGCTCCCACAACTTCTGAAGGCAGCTTCTGTTCCACTGGTTGATCGTTCTCACTGTCAGAAAATTTCTCCTTATTTCTAGGTTGAATCTTTCCTTGATCAGGTTCCATCCATTATTCTAAGACTGTTACAGCCTTAGAAGGCTATTACCTCCTATTTTCTTGATGATCGAGTTTACTGTTTATTAGGCCCTGGCTGTAAAACCTCCATTAATGGGATTTTAATACTGCTTCCCCCAAAAAGATACATAAAAAGAAAGAAACCCTTTTCCTACCAGGGAGGCATCAAGCAGTCTAATCAATCTGTCTTTAATCAAAATAATAACAGCCATCATTACGGTGGTGCTATAGACAGCGGATAAATTGAATCAGCCAAAACCCCTGCCAGGTTTATTATGCGGCTCATAATGACTTCCGTTTCGTTATTAGCCAGCAAAATTCTAAAAGCGTTGATTTCACACTGTGGACCACTCACAAAATAGCTTTCTATCCAGGAGGCGGACCATTGGAGGCAAAATCTGAGATGCCGAACGCAACATGGCCCCTCCATGGTGGCTGGTCAGGATTAACTAGCAAAAGGCATTTCCATTATATTTCTTGCACTGTTGCAACAGCCAACGTTCCACAACAAGGCAACGGGAAGAGACAGTTTGGTCTAGTGGGGAAGGCACTAGCCTAGAAAGCAAGAGACCATGAGTTCAAATCCTGCCTAAGCCATGAAAGCCGGCTGGGTGATTTTGATCTGGCCCCTTTCTTTCAGCCCAACCCACCTCACAAGGTTGGGGAAAACAGGAGGAGGAAGGTGAGTTGGATAGGTTCACCATCTTGACTTTTTTTAAGAGCCATAGTGGCACAGTGGTTAGAATGAAGTACTGCAGGCTCCTTCTGCTGACTGCCAGCTGTCTGCAGTTTGACAGTTTGATTCTCGGTGGCTCCAGGTTGACTCAGCCTTCCATCCTTCCGAGGTTGGTAAAATGAGGACCCAGATGGTTGGGGACAAAATGCTGACTCTGTAAACCGCTTAGAGAGGGCCATAGAGCACTGTGAAGTGGTATATAAATTTAAGTGCTAATGCTCTACCTTTTTTCCTTCCTTCCTTCCTTCCTTCCTTCCTTCCTTCCTTCCTTCCTTCCTTCCTTCCTTCCTTCTTTCCTTCCTTCCTTCCTTCCTTCCTTCCTTCCTTCCTTCCCCAGTGGTTAGAATGCAGCATTGAAGACTGACTCTGCCCACTGCCAGCAGTTCAATCTTGACCGGCTCAAGGTTGACTCAGCCTTTCATCCTTCCGAGGTTGGTAAAATAAGGACCCAGATGGTTGGAGACAAAATGCTGACTCTGTAAACCGCTTAGAGAGGGCCATAGAGCACTGTGAAGTGGTATATAAGTCTAAGTGCTAGTGCTCTACCTTTTTTTCTTCCTTCCTTCCTTCCTTCCTTCCTTCCTTCCTTCCTTCCTTCCTTCCTTCCTCCCCTCCTTCCTTCCTTCCTCCCTCCCTCCCTCCCTCCCTTCTTTCCTGCACAGTGGCTAGAATGCTTACTCCAGGAGTTTAATCCTAACCAGCTCAGGGTTGATTCAACCTTCCATCCTTCCGAGGTTGGTAAAATGAGGACCCAGATTGTTGAGGACAAAATGCTGACTCTGTAAACCACTTAGAGAGGGCTTTAAAGCACTGTGAAGCAGTCTGTAAGTGCTATTGCTATTATTTGTAAAAATAATAAAGATGGGATATAAATTAACAAATAAATAATAAAAGAAGCTGGGATGAGGCAGCTGGTCCAACTAAACAAGTATAAACAGACGCTAACAGATACCAGAAACATTCATATTGGCCAGGAGCTCAGATAAGAGGAAAGCCAGAAAAAACTCTGGCTTCAAAGGGAGTAAAAACAAACAAACAAAAAAACATTTTCCAGCCCTCCTTTCCAGCTGCAGATTTCCACAGATTAAGGCCACGTTCACAGGCTGGGAATTCCTCATGTCAGGCAAGCTTTGACAGCAACAGAGACAGCTGCATTCGACCAGACTGGACTGTCTTGGCAGACCAATATTGTCAATTTGAAGTGCCAAATCCTCCACAGGGTTTCTTCCATCCACTGCGGTTTAACCCTTTCCACTGGAGATGTTGGAGTGGGAAGCCCAGGCCACAGTAAAAAAGGGAGCAGGAAAAGGAATTGGCTGGTTTTCTAAATAACATAAAAGTAGGTAGGTAGGTAGGTAGAGACAGACATAGATAGGATGGATGGATGGATGGAGGGAGGGAGGGAGGGAGGGATAGATAGATAGATAGATAGATAGATAGATAGATAGATAGATAGATAGATAGATAGATAGATTATATATAGAGAGAGGTGGATGGAATGATGGATTGATGGATGGATAAATAGACATAGAGGTGCATGGATGGATGGATGGATGGAGAGAGATGATAGATAGATAGATAGACAGACAGACAGACAGACAGACAGACAGACAGAAGACAGACAGACAGATGACAGAGCAACTAATCAACCAACCAACCAAACATAAATGTGACAAAGAGAGAGAGAGAGATCAGAGACAGATATGGATGGATGGATAGTTGGATGGGTGGATGGAAGGACAGAGAGAGATATATGCTAGATAGATGATAGATAGATAGATAGATAGATAGATAGAGAGAGAGAGAGAGAGAGAGAGAGAGAGGTGGATGGAATGATGGATTGATGGATGGATAAATAGACATAGAGGTGGATGGATGGATGGATGGATAGAGAGAGAGATGATAGATAGATAGATAGATAGATAGATAGATAGATAGATAGATAGACAGAAGACAGACAGGCAGACAGATGACAGAGCAACTAATCAACCAACCAACCAACCATAAATGTGACAAAGATTGTAAATGTTTCCTGAAGTATATCAAGGTTAAATCCTGCAACGGTGGAGAAATGCGCCATTTCTATGTGTCTCGTGTGCTCTGGGTGATCACATCTTCAGGACTTCTTAGTTCTTCTGGACTCTGAATTGACTACAGCCAGCCTGGTTTTGATGACTGATCTCATCTCTTTCCCTGCGCTAATTTAATCTGACATTCCAGCAGGGAGGAAACATCAGCCTTGCCATCTGTCTCTTTTATTATTCCAGCAGAGGTATGGTTTGCATTTCCCAGGTGACTTGAGTGACAAGGAGAAAGAGAGAGAGAGAGAGAGAGAGAGAGAGAGAGAGACAGAGACAGAGAGACAGAGAGACAGAGAGACAGAGAGAGAGACAGAGACAGACACAGAGACAGAGAAAGACACAGAGAGAAAGAGAAAGAGAGAGAGAGACAGACAGAGAGACAGAGAGAGAGACAAAGAGAGAATGACACAGAGAGAGAGAGACAGAGAGAGAGAGTCAGAGACAGACAAACAGACAAACAGACAGACAAAGACAGAGACAGGCACAGAGAGACAGACACAGAGACAGACACACAGAGAGACAGACAGAGACAAAGAGAAAGAGACAGAGTGACAGAGAGAGGAGAGAATGAGAAAAAGAGGAAAAGGAGGAGGAGGAGGAGGAGGAGGAGGAGGAGGAGGAGGAGGAGGAGGAGGAGGAGGAGGAGGAGGAGGAGGAGGAGGAGGAGGAGAAACTAGGATCTCAATCAGAATGAAAGGAATGCAAACCCATCTGCTCGACTGGAAGTGTGGGGACTTTGGAAAGGGGAAGAACGAGGATGCTGTTCACAGCAAGCATATGTTGCTAAATCACACATCCAAACACACCTAACATGAAAGGCTTGCAGACAGCTCTTTGACAGGGTTCTGTTTGCCTCGTGCGTAGGAAACAATGGCTGACAAATGTTGTTTGGAATAAGGAGATACAGGTAACCCTCAAATTACCACCCTCTTCAGCATTTAGTCACCAGTGTTAACAACGGCACTGAAAAGGGGTGACTCAGGATCCATTCATTTGCAGCATCCCCAGAATCATGTAATCAGAATTCGGGCGCTTAGCAACCGGCATGCATTTACAATCCCGATTGCGGTGTCCCAGGGTTGTGTGATTGCCATTTGCAACCTTCCCAGCTAGCTTCCAACAAGCAAAGTCAATTGCGGAATTCAGATTGGCTTAACAACAACCGCAGTGATTCACAATCACTGGGACAAAAAAGCCCGTAAGTCAAGGACTTATGGCAACTTTAAGACTTGTGGACTTCAACTCTCAGAATTCTGGGAGTTGGGGCCCACAAGTCCTACAGTTGCCAAGTGTGAAGACCCCTGGTCAAGGACTACCTGTAAATATCAAGGTTGGTAAGGCAAACGTTGACTGGAGAGAGTCTTTGGGTCAAAAAACCGACGCAAGGATGCTACTTTGTGATTGGAGGGAGGGTCTGTCAACCGGATCATGAAAGCTTGTCCAAGATTTCATTTTAAGGACAGCAAAGTCAAGTTCTGAATCTCCTCTTCAAACTGGCTCTTTCTCAGAACTGGGCAACTGTTTTACCTCTCTCACCCCTTTCTCAAGGCTACGTACAATAACTGTCCAGTGGTTCTTGAGACTCAATAACAAAACTCAAGGAAGGAATCCATTAGGAGGCCAAGATGGAAGTCAAGTTCTTGCGTGACAATTGTGCAGTTCTAATTATACATTAGGGATCCAAATATAAAATCTACAAAAAAATAGAAGAGAGCTGGAAGGGACCTTGGAGGTCTTCTAGTCCAGCCCCCCACTCGAACAGGAGAGTCAAGTGACTGTCTAGCCCAGGGGTAGGCAACCTTGGCTCTTTTATGACTTTTGGACTTCAACTCCCAGAATTCCTGAGCCAGCATGGGGAACTATGGCCCCCTTCATGACTCGTAGACTTCAACTCCCAGAATTCCTGAGCCAGCATGGGGAACTATGGCCCCCTTCATGACTCGTAGACTTCAACTCCCAGAATTCCTGAGCCAGCATGGGGAACTATGGCCCCTTCATGACTCGTGGACTTCAGCATGGCTGGCTCAGGAATTCTGGGAGTTGAAGTCCACCAGTCATAAAAGAGCCAAGGTTGCCTATCCCTGGTCTAGCCTCTTCTTAAAAATATCCAGTAATGGAGTGCCCACGATTTCTGGAGGCAAGCTGTTCCACTGGTTAATTGTCCTCCCTGTCAAGAAGTTTCTCCTTAATTCCAGGTTGCTTCTCACTTTGATCAGTTTCCAACCATTGTTTCTCGTCCTGCCCTCTGGTGCTTTGGTGAACAACCTGGCCCCCTCTGCCTTGACCAGATCAGTTCCTGTTGGATAGCTCCCCACCATCACCTCTCACCGCAAATGCCATTTGTCCCATTTCCACACCTCTCTGATTCTTTTTAAAAAAAGCATGAACATTTGCACGCATTCTCCCTGAGGTCTATAGCAAGGGGCACATCCTATTTTAATATGCATCATTTTCCATGTGTCACAAAATTCAGACGCACGCTGGTCGCTAACTGTTCTCCGACTGAGCCATCGACTGGGGAAATGCAAATGGGCTTAGCTCGCCCCAAAATAGGAACACAGTCCTCCCCTCTTGACATTCCTCTGAAGGGTGGAGAGAGGGATCTCGACTAAAAGTAGCACATTCTCCCCCACAACGCCACCCAACCTCTCGCACACACACCCAATTGCTGGCATCGGTAACACAAAGAGAGAGGATGCAAATCTGGACAACACAATAACAGCCTGCGCTATGAAAAGGGGGAAAGAGGTAAAGCAGACTAAGGTTTATCAAGGAACATTAAGATTTTGCGAGCTATTCCTTGCCTACATACCGAGGCTCAGAAAGTGTCGGGAAGGTGGCTGATAAGGACCACGGCTTGCTCATTGGTAGGTAAAGTTCACCAAATGGCGTTTCTGTCCCTCTGTTTAGTAGCGATAAGAGGAAAGGGACAAGTAAGGGTATATTTGCATCATTTAGGAAGATTTGCCAGGTTGAGCTGGCGGCTTTGAGAAGGGAGGAGGGGAAAAGGCAGGCTTGTTACGGATGGAATACCTGCCCTAGATAAAGCAGGAGAGAAAAATTGAGGAGCTTATCAAGGGCTCAAAATGGAGCCCTTTAACTTGGTTTCCATTCCCCACTGCAAATGATGCTTTCCCAAATCTAGGATAAGTTGACTTCGTATTCCTTAACAGAGATAAAGCCACAGGACAGGGGAAAGAAAAATGAAAAAGTTGAGAGGAGACAGAGTTACAACAGGGTCTCTTCCTGCGTCTATCACTCGGATGGCCTCTAGGAGATGATGCAATGGATGGAAGCTAACCAAGAAGGGATCTAAGCTAGAACTGGAACTAAGGAGGAATTTTCCTGACAGTGAGAACAATTAATCAGTGGGACAGCTTGCCTCCAGAAGTTGTGGGTGCTCCAACACTGGAAGTCTTCAAGAAGAGATTGGGCAACCATCTGTCTGGAACGATATAGGGTTTCCTGCTTGAGTAGGGGGTTGGACTAGAAGACCTCCAAGGTCCCTTCCAAGTCTGTTGTTCTGTTATGAGAGCACCTCAAAGCAAGTGCGCGGAAAAACCATCAGTTTCCTATGAAATGATTTCCCCTTCTCTCTAGGTTGAAGGTTATGGGTGGCCTTCCACGACTTTTTTATGCCCCATCCCTAAATTTGAATGGTTAAACGAGGAGAAAAATCAGCAATAGAGTTGTTGAATAGTTGGAGAAAGACAATGAACCAATCTCTAGGGCAGGGGGGTCTCCAAGCTTGGCAATTTTAAGACTTGTGGACTTCAAGTCCCAGAAATCTGAGCATGGCTGCCTGAGGGATTCTGGGAGTTGAAGTCCACAAGTCCTAAAGTTGCCACGTTTGGAGACCCTCTGCTCTAAGGGGAGGCCTAAAATAGGTTTCACACATTTATGGGAAACAAAGCAAAACTCCCCCCCAAAAGGGGAAAAGGATGGATAACCCAAGCCACATCCATGTGAATTAGCCCCACCCATGTGGCATCATCTCTCCACCCATTGCTGGCTTTCTCTCTCTTCCAAATGAGAAAGGCTTCCGTGGGCAATCAAAAGTCAAGCTGAGAATGGTGGCTGTACCCAACAGGGCCACTTAGCTTAAGGCCAATCAACAGTCAAGCTCGGAATGATGGTGGAAACCATCAAAGTAACTTGGTTTAAGGCCAACCAATAAACAAGCTCAGAATGATGGCTGAACCCAACAGGGACACTTGATTTAAGGCCAACCAACAGTCAAGCTGAGAATGGTGGCTGAACCCAACAGGGCCACTTGGTTTAAGGCCAACCAACAGTCAAGCTGAGAATGGTGGCTGAACCCAACAGGGCCACTTGGTTTAAGGCCAACCAACAGTCAAGCTGAGAATGGTGGCTGAACTCAACAGGGCCACTTGATTTAAGGCCAACCAACAGTCAAGCTGAGAATGGTGGCTGAACCCATTTGATTTAAGGACAACCAATAGACTAGCTGAGAATGGTGGCTGGACCCAACAGGGCCACTTGGTTTAAGGCCAACCAACAGTCAAGCTGAGAATGGTGGCTGAACTCAACAGGGCCACTTGATTTAAGGCCAACCAACAGTCAAGCTGAGAAGAATGGATGACCCCGAGGGCCACTTCATTTTCATGACCCACCATCCTCATCTCTCACAGCACCCAGCTTTGAGAATCACCCAGAAATGGCCATCAAACTATCCTTTTTGCAGAGAATCACCTGATAGGTGCAGACTCATCTCCTCTGTCCAGCCAGTCCTGCGGAGGAATGATGTACATGCACCAAAGACCCCAATTGGAGCCGTGGGCAGCGTTGGCATACTGTTGCACTTCAAAAGTATTGTACTTGATGTTGTCTATAGCTGGTAGGACAATCCGTTTGTGGTCCTCTTTAATCCGGGTCAGGGCCGGCTCTACCCTGTAAACAATCGAGATAGGTTATTTATTCATTTGGACAATAGTTACTGAATTTTGAGCTCTTATGACTCTTGGTGGCTTAGAATGGGGGGGGGAGAGAAAAGTAAAAACCTTTAAAAATAAAGAGATGAATCATAGGTCTCCAGAAGACAATCAAAATACCCTACAGGGACTCAACTATCAGCCTCTTGCAAGGTCTGGGAGAACAGCCAAGTTTTCTTGCTATTTCCATTTTACTGTTAGGTGTTTATGAAAGAATATAAGAATATAAGAAATCTATTATGTAGAGTAGAAGAATTAGGCAGAGGTCATGCAACAGGGACAGACAACCAAACTGAGGTATCGTAACATTCATGCGTTCCAAGAAGCTTATGAGATGTCTTCTGACTTCGTATCTATTTTCCAGTCTAAACTCACATATATTGGACATTAACTTAAAAGCACTCGGTTGATACATTCAACTCATGAAAAGAAGGTTGGAGATAATATATTCAGTGAAAACAGTGAAGACTTTTATGATCTTCTGAACATTTTTCAAGGAGGGAGGAAGATGGATCTCTAAGGGATGGCAAGCACAGGGACAGAGAATGCTGTAGGCAGTCCTCATTCAGTGACTTTCTCTTTTAATGACTTTTCAAATTGAAACTCCTGGTTCATCCCTAAACTCTCCAGAAGCCCACCCAAAGAGACTCTGCTTTTGAAATGAAGTCCTCAAGCCGTTAGAAGTCCTACATCTCTGGAGCTTGAGAATGAGACCCAATGAGTTTCTTCTTGTGATGTTCTCTACCAATCCGCTTTCTACAATTTAGAGCCAGAGGAGGAATTATGGAGATATTCTTCCTTCAAAGACAGCACATCTCAACCCTCTTCGGCTAGTTCTACTAACAATGAAGATGTCTTCGTCTGTGCTCTGTGCAATGTGTAGAGAAACAGACCCATATCCAAATACACAACCACACCGATTCCTATTTTGACCCGTCTATCGAGTCCCCGAATCCTAAAGCAATTGATGCAAGGGATAAAAGAAGCTCTTAGCTTTTGCAATTCTTCTGATACTTGGGCGCAGTGAAGAGAAAAGTCACCTTGGGCTCCTTAATTACCAAGTGACAGCTCCCCGAAGGGAAAAGCCACAGGCAGTTGTCAAAGTTGCCGTAGGAGGTAGAGAAATGTCTTACATCATTACTGCAGAAATACAGTCCAGAGTCTCGCAGCTAAGGAGATCAGTGGGCAGGCATGAATTCACTGAGTGGGCATCTACCCTGCCGAGTTCAGCTGATTTGCATGGAACAGAAGCACCGAAGATGCAATTTAAGGAATGAGGTGCTTTGACCTCTGAACTCTGTGACGTTCAAAGAAGCTGGGTGGTTAACCTTTTCTCATAACAAAGATACCCGGCTTTCAGCCAGTTATCCAATTAAACAATGACTTGGGTGATTTTTCTCATTGAAAACCATCTCCTGCTCCTGCTTCTCCTCCTCCCTTCTCTTACAGGGATGGGAGGGGCATGCTTTCCCATGAATTTCTCTGAAATTCATGTCAACATTTTTTGGGAAGAAGTCTTTCCTACCTTCCTTTCTTCCTTCCTTCCTTCCTTCCTTCCTTCCTTCCTTCCTTCCTTCCTTCCTTCCTTCCTTCCTTCCTTCCTTCCTTCCTTCCTCTCCCATCTATCTTTCCTTCCTCCCTCCCTCCCTCCCTCTCTCCTTTCACCCATCTTTCTCCTTCCTTCCTTCCTTCCTTCCTTCCTTCCTTCCCTCCCTCCCTGCTCCCATCTTTCTCCTTCCTTCCTTCCTCCTTGCCTCCCTCCCTCCCTCCTTCCCTTCCATCCATTCTTCCTTCCTTCCTTCCTCCCTCCTTACTCATTCCTTCCTTCCTTCCTTCCTTCCTTCCTTCCTTCCTTCCTTCCTTCCTTCCTCCCTTCCTCCCTCCCTCCTTCCCTTCCCTTCCCTTCCCTTCCCTTCCCTTCCCTTCCCTTCCCTTCCCTTCCCTTCCTTCTTTCCTTGAATTTCAGCAGTGTGATTTTGAAAGATTTGGAAACCGGAATAGAAAACCGGCCTTGGGGACACATTTAAGGCTGGACCTCTTTGCTCTATGCTACAGCAATTGCTCGTAACAGTTGGGAAGCCGTTGTGGGAACATGAGGTTGTGACTCTGGGATCAATATTTCCGAACTTTTTTTTGAAACATTTCTGACTGCAAAGGGAAGCTGGGCTTAGCATTCGCCAAAATCCACAGTCAAGTTCAGCTCCATTTTCATTTTAATACCAGGCCTTTCTTGCACCAAATGACCATGTAGAGGTTGCCTGTTGAGACAATAAAGATTAAAAAGGAAGACCAAGTCCTCTATTGGGAGATAAATCTTGGATGCCTGGTAGCGCTGTCATACTGGAGATTGCTGAGCGCTCTCTCTCTCACACATACACTCTCCCCCCTCTCTCCCTCCTCTCTCCCCCCTCTCTCTCCCTCTCCTCTCTCTCTCCTCTCCCTCTCTCTCTCCCTCTGCTCTCTCCTCTCTCCCTCTCCCCCCTCTCCTCTCTCCCTCTCTCTCTCCCCTCTCTCCCTCCTCTCCCTCTCCTCTCTCCCCCCTCTCCCTCTCCCTCTCTCCTCTCTCCCTCTCCCCCCTCTCCTGTCTCCCTCTCTCCTCTCTCCCGCTCTCTCCTCTCTCCCTCTCCCCCCTCTCTTCTCTCCCTCTCTCTCTCCCTCTCCTCTCTCCTCTCTCCCTCTCCCCCCTCTCCTCTCTCCCTCTCTCTTTCCCCTCTCTCTCTCCCTCCTCTCCCTCCTCTCTCTCCTCTCCTCTCTCCTCTCCCCCTCTCCTCTTCCTCTCTCCCTCCTCTCTCTCTCTCTCTCTCCTCTCTCTCTCCTCTCTCCCTCCCTCTCTCTCTCTCTCCTCTCTCTCTCCCTCTCTCTCTCTCTCTCCTCTCCCTCTCCCTCTCCCCCCTCTCTCTCTCATTATAACTGTAGCCCTCTAAGGCCAGAAAGAGCATCCTTCTCTTCACATCCTTTACACAGCTCCATAGCAACACCATAAATACTCTCATTCTGTTTATGCAGTTTCCAATAAAAAAAGGCATCTGGTTCACTAGAAGGAGAAAAGGAATCGCTGCTCTGTACAGGTAGTCCTTGACTTACAACAGTTTGTTGAGTGACAGCTTGAAGTTACAATGGCACTGAAAACAGGAACCCATGACCATTTTTCAAACTCGTGGCATCCCCGTGGTCAGATCATCAACATTCAGAGACTTGTCAACTGGCGTGTACTTAGGACAGTTGCTGTGTCCGGGGGGGGAGGTCACATGATCTCCTTTGGCGAACATCTGGCAAGCAATGTCCATGGGGAAGCCAGATTCACTTGACATTGGATTAGGTCCAAGGGTAGACAGAGAAATCTGTTTGGAAGCGGGCGTCAAATGAGGAAAGCATCATGTCATTTCATGCACCCTCGGAAAGGGCTTGGTGTTTGTACCCCGATGCATTTCAACATTTTATTATTTATTTGTCTCCTGCCTTCGTTATTTTTATAAATAACTTAAGGCAGGATGCAAACAATGCTCCTTCTTCTTCTTTTCTGCACAACGACAGCCCAGTTGGGCTGAACGAGTATGATTGGTCCACTCAGCTGACTTTTATGGCTAAGGTGAAGCTACAACTCACATTCTCCAGGGGATTGGCCACCCGTCACCCAGTTGGCTTTCCCAAGGGCAGGACTAGAACTCACCGTCTCCTGACGATTGGCCCAAACTCATCTAGCTGGCTTTCATGGCTAAGGTGGGACTTGAACTCACAGCCTCCTGCTTTCTAGTCTAGTGTCTTAACCACTGGACCAAACTGGCTCTGCATCTTGCCCAGAGCTTCAGATCCCAAGGTCACCTCTGAGGATAGAGGGCCACCAGGACTTGTCCCGCTTCACTTTTTCAAGTGTGCTCTCCCTCTTTAAGTAACCCACTGCGATGAGCGGCTTATAAATTTAATAAAATAAAAGCAAACACCGAATGGATCTGACTGAGGGTAGTCCCAGTAAAACCCACCCTCTTCAATTCCACTTTCTGGGCCACTAGATGGAGCTGGACCATTGAGAGGACCTGGTAGATCAGTGGTTCTCAACCTTTTTAATGCTGTGACCCCCAACCGGTCGTAAGTCGAGGACTACTCAACTGGTGCAGCACCGTTTGCAGAATGGGACTTTTGGCGGGCTCAGCAGGGCAGAGACAGCCTGGACAATTCCTATTGGCTTTTGAAAGCCAATAGAATTAGACTCTATTCAAGAGAGTCCATTCTATTGGCTTTCAAAAGCCAATAGAATAAAAGGAAGTAGCACAGCTAAGGGAAAGGGCGAAAAAATGGCAGATCGTGTTGTTTGGCGACCCCCGTGAAATGGTCGTTCGACCCCAAATGGGGTCCCGACCCACAGGTTGAGAACCACTGTGATAGATGCTCTCATAACACAGTTAATGTGAAAGAAGCTTGGGTTTGCAACAGTGGCGAATATCTGTAGCTCGGGCGTAGGATGAGGGTGAAGTTTTGTTCTCCCAGCTTCTGGGTTGTTTTCCGAACGTTGCGTTACCAGGCTAGGTGACATCTCCAGTGGCGTTTAGGGGATGTCCGTGCCCGGGTCCTTCTGTTGATAAGGCCTTCCGGTGTGGCTGTGTCGAGTGAGGGTCTTGTGATGGGTCAGGTGTGAGTCATCAGTGAGAGGCCGGTGATGGGTCTTGGGATGGGGAGGTTACATCAGATCGGAATCATTGGAAGGGGAACTGCAGGTGGGAATGGGGGAGCTTGTGCGGGATGCTTCAGGGTCAGTGCCGTCTCCAATTGGCTGTGTGGTTGATTTAGATCCTGAGGGGTTCATAGGCTAGTTGTGGGTCGATGTGTCTGTTGATGGAATTGCTTGTGGAGGGGCAGCCCTCGAACTCACGAGCATGATGGGTGGTAGCCTGGCCGATGATTTTAGTGTTGCTCCAATTGAAAGTTTGAGTATTCGCCAAGTAACCTAATGAGAAGGAAGGACTCACTGTAGAAGAGCCTAATGCTGGGAAAGATGGAGGGCAAGAGAAGAAGGGGACGACAGAGATGAGGTGGCTGGATGGAGTCACTGAAGCAGTAGGCATGAGCTTAAATGGACTCCAGAAGACGGTAGAGGACTGGAAGGCCTGGAGGAACATGGTCCATGGGGTTGCGATGGGTCAGACACGACTTGAGGCCTTTGAACTATGGTGCTGGAGAAGACTCCTGCGAGTCCCTTGGACTGCTCTTTAGAAGGCCAGATCCTGAAGTTGAAACTCAAGTACTTTGGCCACCTAATGAGAAGGAAGGACTCGCTGGAGAAGAGCCTAATGCTGGGAAAGATGGAAGGCAAGAGAAGAAGGGGACGACGGAGAAGGAGGTGGCTGGATGGAGTCCCTGAAGCAGGAAGCGTGAGCTTAAATGGACTCCAGAAGACGGTAGAGGACAGGAAGGCCTGGAGGAACGTTGTCCATGGGGTCGCGATGGGTCAGACACGACTTCGCAATTAACAACACGTATCCATATAATGGATGTTGCAAACAGCCTTTCCTACAGGCAAATATCTGATGGGATGGGAAGATTGAGCAAGATTATCTTTAATTGGCATGAAATTATCACGACAGAGCACATTAGCCGGGTTTGAAGAGATCCTTTCCAGCAACGTTATTATTATAAAATTGTCATCTCAAGGTCTTTTATTGATTGCCCATTAGAGGAAAATCTGTGCCGGTTTGGTTTGTTTATCAAAGAGTCTAATGAATTTCTTATTCAAAAATACGTTCGGTCTTAAAGCTTAATCTCCAAACCCTACTTCTGAAATACATTAATGATGTTTTTTTTCCCCCCTAACAACTCTTAAAAATAAGCTGTGGTTGTTTTGTTTTTCAACCAGGGAAGTAGGAGGAATAAAATGTATTTATACAAGAAAATAGAAAATTACTAGCGTAAAATTACAAAGTATAAAAAGGAGTGACCAGGGAATAACCGATGAAATTGCAGTGTCTAGCTTAAACACTGTAAGATAGATAACCAAGTTAGGTAAATAAGCCAGACAAGAATAAATTCCTTTGTGAAAGAAATATGTGTTGCAAGAGATGGGTTTTGGGGATCTATAGGGTGCGGCTCATTGCTTTTCCTCATTTTTTTTTCTCAATTCTTCAGCTTACATCAGCTGAAAATTTCAGAGAGTTTGCCAACTAGCGCGACGCCTTACCAGCCGGTGTTGAATTCAACGTGAGCGTCGAAAAAACCAACGACTGGGGATGTTGAAGCTTTCCATCCCTGGATTCTCGCTCGGATCAAGCCTTCTCGTTTATTATTGCGCACTATTTTCACCAAACCTGGGTACCTTTTGTGGACATATTGGTCCAAGTTAAACTTCAGCTCAACTGCAGGTAGGAAAAGAGACAAGGTTATTCATTCAGCATGCAGTGGCAACTCTACGTAATCTTGGTGTACAGCTAGTCCTTGTTTACTGATCGTTCGAAGTTACAACAGCACTGAAAAAAGGGACGTATGACCGTTTTTCACACTAAGGACCATTGCAGGCTCCCCAGGGTCATGTGATCAACATCCAAATGCTTGGCAACTGGCATGTACTTATGACAGTTGTGGTATCCTGGGGTCACGTGATCCCCTTTGGTCCCTTCCAGATTCTATTCTATTCTATTCTATTCTATTCTATTCTATTCTATTCTATTCTATGTTACTCTAATTCTACTCTATTCTATGTTACTCTAATTCTATTCTATTCTATTCTTTGTTACTCTACTCTAATACTATTCTATTCTATTCTATTCTATTCTATTCTATTCTATTCTATTCTATTCTATTCTATGTTACTCTAATTCTATTCTATTCTATGTTAGTCTTTCTATTCTATTCCATTCCATTCTATCCTATTCATTCTGAATTCTACTCTACTCTACTCTACTCTACTCTACTCTACTCTACTCTACTCTACTCTATTCCATTCTATTCTATTATTCCATTCCATTCCATTCTATTCTATTCATTCTGAATTCTACTCTACTCTACTCTGTTCTGTTCTATTCTGTTCTATTGTGAACAATTACCATTATCGCTGTTGTCGTCCACCAGAATGACCTCCTTGAGCAAGTGGGATGGCGTGTGATTCACAACGCTGTGAACTGAGCGTAGGATGACAGACAAGGCTTCGTTTACAAAAATAAAGACCACTGAGATTTGGGGAAGGTCTTCAGGATAGGACATCTGTTTGCACCTGCGGAGAACAAAAAGAGGTCTAATATCTTCTCCTGGTGAGGAACATCTTAGCTTCCTTCTTCCATCCATCCATGAGCTTTACTTTCACGGCCATCTCAACCACACAAGGCCATTCCTCTCCTTCCTAGCCATCTCAGTTGTGACTCTTCCCCAAGAGGTCACCGTCCCCCCAGATATTGGCTGATAATCCTTCTTGATCCCAAGCTGAATTGCAAGGAAGAAGTCAAAGGATCAATCCATTCATGAGAAATAGCCCCTGGGGTTAACTGGAACGTGTAACCCCTGGCTGGGATTGTGACCGTTTAATAGACCAGGTGAGTTTTGGATCAGGTTCATGGAGGCCCTTTTGACATTTCCTGCAACACACCACCTCATGAAAGTAACGTTCTGGTTCTTGCCCTTGCGCAGAAATTAACATTAAAAATAACCGACACGCTCTCAGTGGCAATTCCAGAGCCCAATTACCATAGCAATTACAGAGCCTGTTCTCTAAAATACGGCTAATGATCCCAAGGGGAATGACTTTCTTTCCTCTTGTCATATTCACTGACCTCGTCGCTCAACACTTCAACATAGTGATCATGGAGTATATATTTTTTAACCATTAGTCACTTCTCTTTGGAGGTGGGAAGACAGGAAGGTATGGAAGACTACCAGGTGCCCTGCAGTGGTGATGGGGGCAGGGTCCAAGAATTTATTCATTTTCCAAGCATTTTCCAATTATCACCACTACTTACCCAAGAATCTTTCAGGGAAAAAAACAAAGGAGGAGAATAATGAACCGTTGCAGTGCAGAGCTAATGAGCTCATGAAAAAGCTTGTGGATATCAGAGACAAGGAAGGGGAAGGACGTAGGAGATAGATGTATGTGGGAAGCAACGGAGTAGGCTGTTCCCAACCCCCTAGAACAGGGGTTCTGTGATGACCCAAGGCCCCGAACGGAGGCAAAGCAATTAGCTGGTCAGAACAATTGTCTTTGTAAGCACTGCCAACTTTCACACTAACTGAGATCAGGGTGTGTAAACGGCAGGGTTTTTATCTGCCCTAGTTAGATGGGCTGACTGACTTTTTTTTTAATTTGCCTGGCAAAGGAGCAGGTCTATGGTTCCATCATGGTTTTAGCTGCCCCTTGCTGAGGTCTACAGTGTGCAAAACAGGACATGAATGGTGGACTAAGCAAAGACTTCACACAGCTCTTTTTTTCAGTTGGAGATTGGAGGGTGGGGGTGGGGGACAGAGAGGCTGTTGATGCAGAAGATAGTGCTACCATGGAAAGAAATTAATATTTTAGGGCACCTCAATTTTCAGGTCTTATATATAATTTACTTAAGCAGGTCACTCCTGCTCAGCAAGCTGAATTGTGCCGAAAAGGTTTTTTTTTTTTAAAACAAAGCAAAACTTATAGGAAGGAAGGAAGGAAGGAAGGAAGGAAGGAAGGAAGGAAGGAAGGAAAGAAAGACAAGGAAGGAAGAAAAAGAAAGAAAAAAGAAAGAAAGAAAGAAAGAAAGAAAGAAAGAAAGGGAAGGAAGGAAGGAAGAAAAAGAAAGAAAGAAAGAAAGAGAAGGAAGGAAGGAAGAAAAAGAAAGAAAGAAAGAGGAAGAAAAAGAAAGAAAGAAAGAAAGAAAGAAAGAAAGAAAGAAAGAGAAGGAAGGAAGGAAGATAAAGAAAGAAAGAAAGAAAGAAAGAAAGAAAGAAAGAAAGAAAGAAAGAAAGAGGAAGGAAGAAAAAGAAAGAAAGAAAGAAAGAAAGAAAGAGAAGGAAGGAAGAAAGGAAGGAAAAGAAAGAAAGAAAGAAAAGGAAGGAAGAAAAAGAAAGAAAGAGAAGGAAGGAAGGAAGGAAGGAAGGAAGGAAGGAAGGAAGGAAGGAAGGAAGAAAAAGAAAGAAAGAACGAAAGAAAGAAAAGGAAGGAAGAAAAAGAAAGAAAGAAAGAAAGAAAGAAAGAAAGAAAGAAAAAAAGAAAGAAAGAGAATCACTGCCTTGCAATTTGGTAAGAAATGCTGTTGAAAGGAAAATTGCTAAAACCGCGTTCCTGGAATATAGTTGCAGAGAGTAGTTTTCCGATGGGTTCTGGGACGGGCAGCTCTTTAAACCTCCCTTTCTCAGGGGTATCTGGATTTATCCCCAAAACATAGAATTGCACCGTTGTGTGTAAGGGAGACCCAGAGCATCTCTTCAGAAGTCCCCCCCCTCCACTTGGGGTGATGTCTATCTCCGCCCTGGATTGTACCTGCCTTGATTTGGTAAAGCTTTCATGCTTCCGCAAGAATTGGGAGAAATCCCCAAACCCTAATCATAACTGACGGCTGAAAATACGTTCTTTTAACTAGCTGGAATAAAATTAGTTCAAAGTAAAATATCATCTCTAGCCTTTCTTTAATTGCAGAAATGGTTCAGGAACAAGGAAAAGGAGAAAGTGAGGAGGAGGAGGGGGGGGGAGGGGGAGGAGAAGGTACCAATGAAGGAGAATATTTGTAACTCAGGACTGAAATGTGTTTGCTTGATTTCTTTGCAGACATTTCATTACCCGAACTAACATTATTAGTGCTAGAAGAGAGTGGAATTTATAGAGAGAAGGAAGGAAGGAAGGAAGGAAGGAAGGAAGGAAGGAAGGAAGGAAGGAAGGAAGGAAGGAAGGAAGGAAGGAAGGAAGGAAGGAAGGACAGACTATGGAGTCCTAGGTACTCTCTGGGCTTGCCTGTTTTCTTGCAGACATTTCATTACACAAACTAGGCAACATCATCAGTGCTAGAAGGGAGTGGAATTTATGCAGAGGGAGGGAGGGAGGGAGGGAGGGAAGGAAGGGAGGGAGGGAGGGAGGGAGGACTGACTATGGGATCCTAGGAACTCTCTGAGCTTGCTTGTTTCTTGCAGACATTTCATTACCCAAACTAGGTAACATCATAAGTGCTAGAAGAGAGTGGAATTTATGCAGAGGAGGGAGGGAGGGAGGGAGGGAGGGAGGGAGGGAAGGAAGGAAGGAAGGAAGGAAGGAAGGAAGGAAGGAAGGAAGGAAGGAAGGAAGGAAGGAAGGAAGGAAGGAAGGACGGACTATGGAGTCTTAGGGACTCTCTGAGCTTGCTTGTTTCTTGCAGACATTTCATTACCCAAACTAGGTAACATCATCAGTGCTTGCCTACATCTCAGAGAGCACCAAAGATCCCTCAAGGAGAAGGAGGATATTTTTTTTCATAATAATGGAGAAAGAGGAGGAGGAGGAGGAGGAGGAGGAAGAGAGAAGGGAGGAGGAGAAGAATAGAAGATGGTGATTCAGTGCCCATATCAGAAAACAGGACTTTCCTACACAAAAAAAAGGAAAGATGGTTCAACCGTGGTGATCAAATACATATCGGAAGGCCCACAAAAAAAGTGGAGTTATATCTTCCTTCTGGCACACGGTGACCATTTTCCGCAGGTGTCCATTCCATCTGGCTTCCTCAATTCCAGAGGCGCTAATTAACACCGGAAGCCTTCCGATCTCTTTCCTGCAGTCTCAGGAGTGACCCACACGATGAAGCTATTGAAAACCCACTTTCCCCTCAGGTCCTGACTGAACTACATTTCCCTGGGTTCCTTGTGCAAAAAGGAATTGGAGCTAAACCAATTTAAGCCTCGTTGGCACAAATTTGCATCCGTTGACTGTCTCCGCCGTAGGTCAGAGCACAATAAGGAACACGGATATCTAAAACTGATTATTTCCATCACAGAAATATTTCCTCACAAAAAGCCAAACACTTCAAGCACTGGCAAATGCAACCAATTATCTTTTAAACAATAAACCGCGCAATTTCTCGACATCGATCTTCCTTCCAAAACGATAATGGCCAGCTAAGCTTTGTGGCTATAAAACTATGCATGCTTTCAGCAGAAAAGGACCATTGAATTCAATAAGAATGGTTTCTAAGCAAGAGTCGCTGAGTCTCTGGAAGTAGCAACCTCTAGTGCAGCATTTCTAGAATCAGAAGCTACAATAAAAGTAGGATCGTTGTTCCAGTATTTGAGGGGCTGCCACAAAGAGGCAGGGATCGAATTATTCTGCAAAGCATCAGAGGGCAAGAATAGAATAGAATAGAATAGAATAGAATAGAATAGAATAGAACAGAACAGAACAGAATAGAATAGAACAGAACAGAACAGAACAGAGAAAATATAGAACAGAACAGAATAGAATGGAACGGAACGGAAATTAGAATAGAATAGAATAGAATAGAATAGAATAGAATAGAATAGAATAGAATAGAATAGAACAGAACAGAACAGAGAAAATATAGAACAGAACAGAATAGAATGGAACGGAACGGAAATTAGAATAGAATAGAATAGAATAGAATAGAATAGAATAGAATAGAATAGAATGGAATGGAACGGAACGGAACGGAACGGAATTTAGAATAGAATAGAATAGAATAGAATAGAATAGAATAGAATAGAATAGAATAGAATAGAATAGAATAGAATAGAATAGAATAGAACAGAACAGAGAAAATATAGAACAGAACAGAATGGAATGGAATGGAACGGAAATTAGAATAGAATAGAATAGAATAGAATAGAATAGAATAGAATAGAATAGAATAGAATAGAACGGAATGGAACGGAATTTAGAATAGAATAGAATAGAATAGAATAGAATAGAATAGAATAGAATAGAATAGAATAGAATAGAATAGAATAGAATAGAATAGAAGGATAGGATGGGATGGGATGGGATAGAGTTGGAAAAAACCTTGGAGGTCTTCTAGTCCAGCCCTCTGCTCGAGCAGGAGAACCTATACCATTTCAGACAAGTGACTGTCCAGTCTCTTCTTTAAAATTTCCAGTGATGGAGCACCCACAATTTCTGGTGGCAAGCTGTTTCACTGGTTAATTGTCCTCACTGTTAGGAAGTTTCTCCTTAATCCCAGGTTGCTTCTCTCTTTGGTCAGTTTCCATCCATTGTTTCTCATCTTGCCCTCTGGTGCTTTGGAGATTAATTTGACCCCCTCTTCCTTGTGGCAGCCCCTCAAATACTGAAACACTGCTATCCTGTCTCCCCTATTTCTTCTTTTCTTTAGACTAGCCAAACTCAAGTCCCACAGCCGTTCTTTGTATGTTTTAGCCTCCAGGCCTTTGATCATCTTAGTTGCTCTTCTCTGATTTTTTTCCAAACTCTCAACATCTTTTTTTTGTGGTATGGTAGGTAATTTTACTACACTTTGTTTGGTGACCTTTCAAAGTTACAGCAGCACTGGAAAAAATGACTTATGACCATTTTTCACACTTAACGACCGCTGTAGCATCCCCCTGGTCACGTGATCAAAATCCACACGCTTGGCAACTGACTTGCATTTATGACGGTCGCAGTGTCCCAAAGTCACGTGGATCCCCCTTTGGCGAACTTCTGACAAGCAAAGTCAACGGGGGTAGCCAGATTCACTTAACAACCGTGTTACTAACTTAACAACTGCAGCGATTCATTTAACAACGGTGGCAAGAAAGATCGCAAAACAAGGCAACCCTCCACAAATGTCTCATCCGGCAACACAAAGTTTGGGCTCAATTGTGTTTGTAACCTGAGGACTAGCTGTATGTGACTTGTACCAATGTTCTTCTTAGTCTAGTGGTGGCGAACCTATGGCACGGGTGCCAGAGGCGGCACTCAGAGCCCTCTCTGTGGGCACGCACCCCGTCGCCCCAGTCCTAGGCCTTCAGCTGGGTTTTATAAAACCTTTTCGCTTTAGGCCTCTGCCGCCGTGTGCAAAAAAAAAAAAAAGGTTCAATCAATCAGTCAATTTCAACTTCTCGCAGGAAAAAAAAAGATCTTGCAAAGTTGGAATTGATTGGTTGAACTTTTTAGTCCCACCCAGTCTGCCGTTACCACCACAGCCACGCCCACCCAATGGGCCACGCCCTCCCAATGGGCTACACCCAGCCAATGGGCCACACCCACCCAATGGGCCACGCCCACCCAATGGGCCACACCCACCCGGCACCTGACGATGCATAAGTGGGTTTTGGGTTGCAGTTTGGGCACTCGGTCTCTAAAAGGTTCGCCATCACTGTCTTAGTCTCTTATTATTTTCCATTTCAATTGACAGATTTGATTTGCAAAATTGTACCTCAACCTTTAGCAAAACACGAAACAAGCCCATTTTTGGCAACAAGTCCATTCTGGAAGGAAATCCACTCCTGTTTATCAAGTATTCATAGCCTCGCACTGAAAACATTGGATACGCAGTAGATTTTATTTTTTTTTACTTTTTGCTTGTTTATTTTCAGATTTCGTGCGTGTGTGTGTGTGTGTGTGCTTTTATAATTATACTTTCAGGCCCAATTAAACTTCCAAACTTAATGCCGATGAAACTGTAGCTCTTTAAAAATATGCAGATCAGAATGTTCAAAGAAAAAGCTTTGGAAGTGTGAATTTCCCAGGTCAACTTGTGAATAGCAAAACAAATATGCATTCTCTTAAAAAAAAAATCATTTCTGTTCCATTAAAAGACAAACAGCGCTTAAAATAGCTCACGATACAATCCTACGCCTGTTTTAGAATTTCAGATTTTTTTTTTCATGAGGAAGTCCAGCAAAACTCTCATAATAGCTGTCCCTACGTATAATTAAAAACCAAGACTGCTCAGGTAATTAAACGTTTGGGGGTACGAGGAGCACCCTGGTGACTTTTCCCCATTCGGAGAAGCAATTTTCCTAGCTGGATTTGAGACCGCTGGCCGGAGTCAAGGAACCTGGAAGAAGCAGAAACGGGAACCACTTCAAGCCAGGCTCAGATTAGTGTCGCTAAAATACGAACCCCTAAAGGGCTAGCCGGCAGCTTGGCAGCTTGGCTGTGTTTCAGCCTTCTTTTCCAAACTTCTCAAATGCTAACGATAAACGGAAGATTATTATTATTGGTTTGTTGCACAATTGGCCAGATGTTCAGACTGGATTTGACATTTTTGTCCACCTATTAACAGTCCTTCCCAAGGACCTGGGATAGGTAATGTTGATGCTTTATGGTGTTAGAGGTGTCATAATTATTTCTTCTCCTTCTCCTTTTCCTTCTCCTCTTCTCCTCCGCCCTCCTCCCATTCTCTTCCTCCTCCTTCCATTTTCCTCCTCTTCTTCCCATCCTCCTCTCCTCCTCCTCCTACTATCCTTCTCCTCCTATTCTCCTTTTCCTCCCATCCTTCTCCTCCTTCTATTCTCCTCCTCCTCCTTCCATTTTCCTCTTCTTCCCATCCTCCTCTCCTCCTCCTCCTACCATCCTTCTCCTCCTATTCTCCTTTTCCTCCCATCCTTCTCCTCCTCCTCCCATCCTCCTCCTCCTCCTCCCATTCTCCTTCCATTTTCCCCCTCTTCTTCCCATCCTCCTCCCATCCTCCTCCTCCTCCTCTCCTCCTCCTTTTTCTCCTCCTCCCATTCTCCTCCTCCTCCTCCCATTCTCCTTCCATTTTCCTCCTCTTCTTCCCATCCTCTCCTGCTCTTCCTATCATCCTTCTCCTATTCTCCTTTTCTTGCCATCCTTCTCCTCCTCCACTTCCTCTTCATTCCTTTCCCTCTCCTCCTCCTCCTCCTTCTCCCGCTGATACTTTTGAGAAAGCAACAGGGAAAATGTTGTAAAGGAATTGAATTCTCCTTCTGTTTCCCCAGCTTGGCTGACCATTAAACCTACAGTCATAAGATCCGCTGGATTCCAACATCAATGAGGGATCAAGCACATTTTGAATCTCGCATTTGATTTTGAATAAAGGGTATCGTTCGTTTTTTGCTTTTTTCCTACCATTCTATTGAATTTTCTTTTGCCCATTATCTCTCTGTTATTCCCCAAGGGCTGCTGGTAGTAATTAAGATCTACATTGCACCCTTTTGTGATATAATTAAACTCAGTGTTTAATTAGAAAGCCTAGCCAGGGCCAAAGGAAGAGAAATCAATTTTGTCTCTAATGGGCCAAGCAAGGATAAAGGAAACATACAGGAAAACTTGAAATGGTATCACAAAATCAGCTCAGAGCTAACCCTTGACTTCTGCGTCAATTGAAACCTCACCGTGAAATTCTTGAACTTGAACACCGTTGGCATTGACAAATTCGCCATCAGTCAATTGCAAACAGCTTCCATCCTGTGACGAGATCTGTAACACCATCAAACATCCACATCTGCCCATCCCAGGTCCTTGGTAAAGACTCGATAGGTAGACAAAAATGCCAAATCCAGTCTGACTGTGCGATGATCAATAATAATAATAATTTATATTGTTGCTCCCCCTGGAAATCTCCTCCCAAACCTGCAAACAACTGTCTCTGAATAAACCAGTACAAATATGTGTCACAGCTTTCAGTTCCTCTAGATTAGGGGTCCCCGACCCCCGGTCCATCGACCAGCACCAGGCCTTGGCATGTCAGCAACCGGTCCACACAAACAAGCAAAGCCCCATCCGCGGGATGCAGGCAGCACACAAAACCACACAATCTCCGGTCCGTGGAAAAACTTCTCTCCATGGAACCAGTCCCTGGTGCTCAAAAGGTTGGGGATTCTCTGTTCTAGAGGGGAATCTTATCTGCACAATGAGAAGAAGAGAAAGGAGATGCTCTGTTTCTTCTCCTGTTTGGTGTTCCTTTTTCACTTTGTAATAACATTTTCTACACCTCGCTTCAAGTGAGGATAAACATCTGTGATGGCTGCCGAAGTGAGACCTGCTTGTCCTGGAAAGGTGGTTAGACCAAACCATGTACGACCAGTGTTTATTTTTGGGGAAAACAAAACACCCACTATCTTTGAAAGGGAGGGGTGTGTGTCTTAGATCATGGGGTTTAGGTTCTCAAAAGCCAGTCCGAGGAAAATTAATGGAAAGGAAGGCGGGGAAAGAAATTTGCAAAAGAGCAGAGTTGCTTCTTCAAAGCTATGAGCGTGGGAAATTTGCAATATCAAAATTAAAACTGTCCAAAACTTGATCTACTGCACAAGGGCAGCTGCTAAAATCTGGGTCTACACAAGGTTTGCGCCTTGTCTTAGTGAGATACCACAAAGTACAAATGCTTAGGCCCAGCACATCTTTAAGGATAGAAAGGAATAAAGTCACGGGAATAAAACAACGTGGAGCATTGTGTTCTGCTTTAAACACAGGAAAGTTAAACCACCAAGTTGATCTAGACTCCTGGTGAGTTTGTGGATATATCCATGCTGTTTCCTTGGTAGTAATACAAATGTGGTTTGTTATTATCTTCAGCTTGAATGTTGATATTTTTTTAGGACATACATCCCTGGTGTTTTGGGTAATTTCCCTTCCAAATATTTAACCCGCAATGTGTAACTGCCTTGACTTAACCATATTTTGCCTTAGGGAATATTGTAAAGGCATAAGAATCAGGACCACCGTTTAATATTAGATAAAAGTTAATGGAATTTGGACTTAGGCCATTTGTGGGAACATAAGGATTCCAGGTTGGTTCCTCTCTTGACTCCAGCCCCAGACTCTGCCCTCTTTCTCCCATGGATATGTGGGAATCAGCTTGGGAGACAGAATGAAAAGCCACAGCCGGGGCAAGAATTAGATAAAAGGCACCTTAGCCCACAGAAGTAACATGGGTGTGTTAAACCCCTCAAAAGGAACCATCCATAGTTTCTTATTTTGTGATCCAAGAAACCAACCATGCCCTTGTAAATAAAAACAGGAATTAAAAAGAACAAAAGAAAGGCATTAAACAGTGTGAAACAAAGGAGAAAAACAAGAATCTGAACAATGCCATTCAGATTATAATTTTTCAGTATCCGCATGCTAAAAGTTATAATTTCCCATTCTATAATTAATTCAATTTTTACAACTCTTCGAATCCATCCAAAACAAGTACAGGAAACAGAGTAACTTTCACCAATGGTTGGTCATGCAGAGAGCTTCCTTACTTTTTGGGTCTATAGTCTGGAATAGATCTGTCCAATGAAATCCGATCACTCAGTTGCGCATTATAACCATATTCTTCATATTTCGTTTCGGATTCATGGCTGTCATCTCTCAGTGTGGCAGCCATTCCTCCTTGGCCCAAACCGCCTGGGCCTTCCACTAATCCCATTGGCTTGGCTAGACCTGGGAAGAAAAAGAGAAAATACGGATGCTCTTAGTTTAGAAAATCAGGGGAGTGGGTCAGCGATAGAGTATTAAAAGCAGAGTAAGTCAGGAAGTCCAGGCTTATATTCAAATGAATATAAAGGTTTATTGGAAGCTTCAGCTCTCTACAAGAATCTGACCTACTAACAGCCAAGGCAAATTGGTGGTAGGTAAGAGTCAACGGAATTCAAGGTGGTCTGCTCTTGTGGGTGCAAAGGGATTCCAGACTGATGATGCATTGGACCCCTCCCTCAGACTCAGCCTGGTCATCTCTTCTCAGTCATCCAAGTCATGGTTGTCCCAAAGGTGCCTTTTCAAGAGTTAATTGGACTTTCTTTGTTTTTCCTTGAAGACACATTGTGAAGAAGCTTCTTGGATGAGAAGCGAAGCAAAGAAAGTCCAGTTACCTCTTGGTAAAGCACCTTTGGGGCGCCTAAGTAATAATTCATTACTTCATGACATCAATCTTCACATAGATTCAGAAATCCTTCCCATGTTCCCCAATTAGATCCTAGAATTCATAATGGGTTTCAGAATTTGAACCCCGGTTGCTGGTCTATCTGCTCTTGCAAGAGAATCCAGAGACATCAACAAAAAAAGCTTGCAGATAGCTTTGTGCTGCAGTTTTCTTGTACACCGGTAGTGCTGGTAGACACAATAGGATGACTTAGCCCTTCTGTCTCTCAGGATATAAAATTCATTACTTTTTTTTAATTGGAAGTGATATTACATTTATGTGTAGAGATCTTCAATATCAAAATGTAATTGCTTTTAAGGAATCCTCATTTGAAGCCCACTTCCCCTGGAGAGAAGGAGATGGAGTCTAATTACGAGAGATAATTTGAGAGAAGATAAACAAATAACAGAAGATCATCAAGGTCAACAATGGATCAACGCAAAAGGTGCAAGAAGTAGGTTTCGCAGCAACAGCAAGCATAGATTTGATTAAATATTACTCATCTGTCATTACTGGCATGGAGAAGTGAAGATTTTTGAGGGTGGATTGGCCATATTAAGAGAATAAAGAGGCAACATTTGGGAGATAGAAGTAGGGTGATGAAGGAGAGCTTGTGTGAGCTGTCCTCTCTTCCTAAGCTACTCTACTGGCCTTCAAATGCAATGGAGGACATTGTCCCAGGGTCTAAGAGTCAACTGCCCATCCAGATGACTTTGGGGTCCTTGGTGCTCTCTGAGTTTGGTTGTTTTCTCACAGATGTTTCATTACCCAACTAGGTAACATCATCCATGTCGGAAAGGAGTGGCGTTTGCTCTGTTTTAACACCAAGATTAATAGAAGACCAACAATGCCCAATCAAGGAACTACCAACTCGGACAAACAAACAAGCAAACAGTCTAATCAAAGAGTCACCAAATACTCCTTATCAACATGGGAAACCACTTGTATCGAAAAAGACAGCCAACCCCACTCCCTTTTAATACTGATGATGTTACCGAGTTGAGTAATGAAACATCTACAAGAAAACATCTAAGCTCAGAGAGCACCAAAGACCCACAGTCCTCCTCCTCCTCCTCCTCCCTATTCTCCCTCATCTTTCTTCTCCATTCCACAAATTCCACTCTCTTCTAGCACTGATGATGTTACCGAGTTGGGTAATGAAACATCTGCAAGAAAATGACCAAGCTCAGAGGACCCAAAGGACCTAAGAGTCCTTCTCCTTCTCCTTTTTCAATTCCTCTCCATATACCCTACTTCCTTCCAATACTGATGATGTTACCTAGTTGGGTGATGAAACATCTGCAAGAAAACCACCAAGCTCAGAAGAGCATCAAAGACCCCTGACTCTGAGCTAGAAATATTTTCTTCTACCGGTATCCAATAACGTTTCTCAGTGGAACAAGAAGGTGAATCTGAACATTGCAAACATTTGGGATGTGTCATCCATCCATCAGATGACTCACTAGACACCCTAGTGACACACCAAACAACTACGCAACTAACACAAAGCGATCAACCTGGAAAGAATGCCAAATCTCACTGACTTTCGGTCCAGATGGCTTTCCAATTGGCCCTTGGAAAAACGTCTAGGCAATGTCTGCTTCCAAGATCACTGTGGTGGTAGCGGTATCTCCGTTTGACTACATGAAATCCATTCCTTTCTGTTTCTCATAAGGTTGGCATTATGCACAATCACATCCCCGCTTTGTTTTTGTCTCGTTTTTTAAGCTAAAAAGGGGGAAAAAAGAAAACCCCGCAGCTACATTGTTTCTGATACTGTTTTTTTGCTTAGACGGGTGTTTTTTTTTTCCCCGCTTGTCAGAAAGGTAAAACCCTCACATCTGTTCCACTCTTGAATGCTTGCATCATCGAGAAATGCTTCCTACAGGGTGGGTGAGGGTCAGGCCTCCCTTTTCACATGTTTACAATCCTGTTTCTCTTTTGTCACCTTCGATCTGCAATATCCGCATTGTGAAGAACCAGAGAAAGTTCTATATATGTTGAATAAATCCACACTGTCTCCTTCTCCCTCCCTCCCCCCCTCTCTTTTTCTCTCCCTCCCTCCGTCCCTTTCTCTCTCTCTCTCTTTCCTCTTTCTCTCTCCTCTCTCCCACTCTCTTTCCTCTCCCTCTTTCCTTTTTCCTCTCCCCCTCTCTTTCTCTCTCTCCCTCTCCTCTCCCTCCCTCTCTCTTTCCCTCCCACTCCCCCTTTCTCTTTCTCTCTCTCTCCCTCTCCCTCCCTCCCTCCTTCTCTCCCTCCCTTTCTTTCTCTTTCTCTCTTTCTCTCTCTCTTTCCTCCCCCCTCTTTTCTCTCCCTCTCCTCTCCCCTCCCCCTCTCTTTCTCTTTCTCTCTTTCCCTCTCTCCTCTCCATCTCTCTCTCTCATTTTAAGACTCCCCCTCAAGATATGAATCAGAAGAGTGGAATATTTATAACTAAGGACTCTCAGCAGATCTGGGAGGGCAAAAATGCAGGCTGGAGACTCATGGGATGAAAGATGACCCAAAGATCAGAGAGAGAGAGAGAGGAGATACTAATGATACGGCATCTGCATTGCTGCTAGGCAACGGTATCAGCCACGTTTCTCTCTTTCCTCACTTTGTCAATCCAGGAAACCAAAGACACTTCTTGCCATTGGACCATTTGCTTCTGAGCAAAGACCTTTTGCTTCTCATCCAAGAAGCTTCTTTAGTTCTGGAGACACTTCTGGGATAAGAAGCCAAACAACTTCAAGCAAAAAAAAAAAAAAAAACAAAACAAAGAAAATCCAGTTGTCTTTTGAAGAAGCACCTTTGGGGACAACCGTGACCTGGCAGACTGAGAATCTCCACAGACATCTGACTGGAGATGTTCCTCAGGATGACGTGAAGCAACCAGGAACCCTTTGAAGAGCCTTACCAGTCTTGGGAAATTCCCAGCAGGCCGGGGAGGAGGAGGAGGAGGCAAGTGGGGAACTAGCCTCGAGTCCTTCCACGAAACCATATCTGTTTGCTGCCGAGGAAGCGCGAGCAGTCTGGGGAGATTCTTGTAATATAGGTAGAAAGCAATAAAGTTGCTGACTGGACTTTTCACAAGTGGATCTGGTGGCTTATGCTGGACAAGGAGGCACAGTTAGAATCTAGGGCACAAACTCAGCTTCTCATCTAAATACAGGTATTCCTCAACTTCCAACCATTCCTTTAGTGACTGTCAAAAGGCACGGAAGAAAGAGGCTTACAATCAGTCCTCACACTTAGGACCATTGCAGCATTTCCAAACTGGCAACCCGGCATGCGTTCACGGCCTCCTGGGGTCACATGGTTGCCACTTGTGACCTTGCCAGCCGGCTTCCGACATGTTAATGGGGGAAGATGGATTCTGACAGCATGGGATTCGCTTAACAACGGTTACGCAAAAAAACAACAACCCTGAAGTCTTAAAAATCAGGCACAATTCACTTAACCTCTGTTTTCTTAGCCATGGAAATTCCGGCTCCAATTGTGATAGTGGAATAGATAGAATAACGGAGTTGGAAGGGACTTTGTAGGTCATCTAGTCCAACCCCCTGCCCGTGCAGGAGACCCCTGCACCATTTCTGACAGATGGCAGTCCACTCTCTTCTTGAAAGCTTCCAGTGATGAAGCTCCCACAACAATCTGTTCCACTGGTTCATTGTTCTCACTGTCAGAAACTCTCTCCTTATTCCCTTGATCAATTTCCATCCATTATTCCTTGTCTGGCCTTCAGGTGCTTTGTAGAATAGAATAGAAAAGAATAGAGTAGAATAGAGTAGAGTAGAGTAGAGTAGAGTAGAGTAGAATAGAATAGAATAGAATAGAATAGAATAGAATAGAATAGAATAGAATAGAATAGAATCCCAGTTGCAATGTATGGCTGTGAAAGTTGGACCATAAGAAAGGCTGAGCGCCAAAGAATTGAGGCCTTTGAACTATGGTGCTGGAGAAGACTCCTGCGAGTCCCCTGGATTGCAAGGCGTTCAAACCAGTCAGTCCTAGAAGAGATCAACCCCGACTGCTCTTTAGAAGGCCAGATCCTGAAGTTGAAACTCAAGTACTTTGGCCACCTAATGAGAAGGAAGGATTCACTGGAGAAGAGCCTAATGCTGGGAAAGATTGAGGGCAATAGAAGAAGGGGACGACAGAGAATGAGATGGCTGGATGGAGTCACTGAAGCAGTAGGTGTGAACTTAAATGGACTCCAGAAGATGGTAGAGGACAGGAAGACCTGGAGGAATGTTGTCCATGGGGTCGCGATGGGTCGGACACGACTTCACAATTAAAAAAGAATAGAATAGAATAGAATAGAATAGAATAGAATAGAATAGAATAGAATAGAATAGAATAGAAGCTGGAAGGGACTTTGGAGGTCTTCTAGTCCAGCCTCCTGCTCAAGCAGGAGAACCTATACCGTCTCAGACAGGTGAACATCTAGTCTCTTCTTAAAAATTTCCAGTGATGGAGCGCCCATGGGTTCTGGAGGCAAGATGTTCCACTGGTTAATTGTCCTCACTGTCAGGAACTTTCT